ATGGATTCTGGATGGATTTTGGATAGATTCCAGATGGATTCTGGATAGATTCCAGATGGATTCCGGATAGATTCCAGATGGATTTTGGATGGATTTTGGATAGATTTGGGGTGGATTTTGGGTGGATTCTGGATAGATTTGGGGTGGATTTTGGGTGGATTTTGGATAGATTTGGGGTGGATTTTGGGTGAATTCCAGATGGATTCTGGATGGATTCCAGATGGATTTTGGATAGATTCTGGATGGATTCTGGATGGATTTGGGGTGGATTTTGGGTGGGTTCCGGATGGATTCCGGATGGATTCTGGATAGATTCCAGATGAATTCTGGCTAGATTCCAGATGGATTCCAGATGGATTCTGGGTAGATTTCAGATGGATTCTGGATAGATTCCAGATGGATTTTGGATGGATTTGGGGTGGATTTTGGGTGGGTTCCGGATGGATTCCGGATGGATTCTGGATAGATTCCAGATGGATTCCGGATGGATTCTGGATAGATTTGGGGTGGACTTTGGGTGGATTCTGGATAGATTTGGGGTGGATTTTGGGTGGATTCCGGATGGATTCTGGATGCCGGCCGGGCTGAGCGGGGCCGGGCTCTGCTGCTCCGCTCCTCCCTCTCTCTATTTATTTATTCCTGCGCGGAGCTCCGGGGCTGAATCACCTCGGAGCGAGCGGCAGCGCCTTCCCAGCCGGTGAGTGCCGGGGAAAAGGGGGAAAAGGGGGCTCGGAGAGGGATAAACCCGGAGCTCAGGGAGGGGTTTGGAGCCCGAGGGATTCGGGGCTGCCTCTTTCCCTGCCCTGACAGCCTAAAAATTGATTTTCCAGCGGTTCCTTAAGAGGCAGAGCGCTGCTTCTCCCCGCTCCTTGTTTACTCAGCGTTTACTCAGCGCTGGCGGGGGATTTCTTCTCCGAGGTTTTGTCTTTTCCAGCGGAAGCGAAAGAGAAAAGGGGGGTTTCTACACCCAGAGGTGACATTTTCTGGGAAATTCCCATTTTATTTCGAGTTTTCAGCCCGGAATTTTCACCCCCAGCATCTCCAGGAGGGTCCGGCCGCCCCCATCCCCGGGCATCTTCCCACCTCCACCTTCCCCTCCTGCCCGGGGGCCTTCCCAAGGTTATTTCCAGGGATATTTTGGTGTTTCCAAAACCAAAAACCTCCTCCTTTGCCAAGCACGTAATTGCTGCTTGCGATGGCTCCTGGCAGCCTCCATTTTCCGCGGAGTTCCTCCAGCTCCGGCACAAACCAACCTCAATTAATTCCTCATTTCCAGCACCCGCCGGGAGGGCGAATTTGGGCCAGGAAGGTTTAAAATAATCAGAAAAAAAAAAACAAAACCCCATACCCCATAAAAAATTTCCTTGCGAAGATTTTCCATCTATAATTTAATATTAATATTAATGTCATGGTCAGGCCATGAAGAGAATTTCGGAGCAGAGAGAGATCCCAGCTTTTCTCCTCGGAAAAAAAAAAATCTGGGATTTATTTTTTTTTTATTTCTGGGAGAAAATCCCGGATTCCCAGGAAGCAGCTCCTGATCCCCATCAGCGACTCATTAATTTAGAAGCTCCTCGCTGGCTAATTAGTGCCCTGTTTATCAGAGCTCGGAGGGTAATTAGAGGAGCAGCTCAGCGCTGTGATATTCCGAGAATTCTGAGTCAACCTCCAACCCTGGGATTTCTTCAATAAATATGCCTTGAACCCCTCTTATCCAGAGCCTGATTCTCTCTCCCTCTTTGGAACAGCGAGGGGAAAAAAACCCCAGAATTTAAAATTCATTTTCAAACCGAATTTTCTGCCTTTTCCTCCTCCGTTTTTTCGTTTTCCCGAGGAGCCGGGTGTTTTTTTCCCTGCCTTTTTGGCTATTTTTAACCCCCCTGATCTCATCCCTGCCCCCAGCGGGTGGGTGCTGAGGGTGAGGAAGGCTCCAGAGCCCAGATTTTTCCATGAGCCGGCAGTGCCAAGCCTGGAATTCCATCGCCAGGATGGTGCAGCTCCCCCGCGATTTTGTTCAGGGGCTTGCTGGCGATCCCACCCGAACCACGGAGCTCAAAGGGTTTAAATTCAAACATTTCTGGGCACGAAACCAGATTATTTTTTCGGGGGAAAAAAGGGAGAAAAAGCATAATTTAGGAGCTCAAAGAGGTGAATCTGCTTTTTGAGGCCCACAAAGCCACGTCCAGCTGGCAACAGAAGGATTTCTGGTTTGTGCAGGGTTTTATTTTGGTTTTTCAGAGCGGCTCAGGAGGGTTCAGCATCTCCTGCCTGCGCTCAGGTTATTCCTGGGATGATTCTGCAGGGAGCTGCTCCTTAATCTCTGCAAAAAAACCCCAAATTTAGGACCCAAATGGATTTTGATGTTTCTGTTGTACCACGGGGCAGAATCCAGGGATGCCCTCGCACACCCGGAGCGCCCCAGGGGCGATTCTGGGGGAGAGCCCGGCCTCGGGAAGGATGGAAAACGCTTTTTTATCGCTGCATCAAACACGGGGGAGCAGCGGCTCGGCGTCCAGAGGGGTTTTACAGCTTGGGAAGGATTTTCCAGAGGGCATTCCAAAGGATTTGCAGCTCGGCTGTGGATTGTACGGGGAGGGGAGCGGCTCCTGGACCGGGATTCCAGCCTTGCCGGCCCCGCCCGTGGGAGATGATCGGAATGGGAGCAGTGAACGCTGGGGTTATGGATGGTCCCAGGTCATGGATGATCCCAGGTCATGGATGATCCCAGGCCATGGATGATCCCATGGATGATCCCAGGCCGTGGATGGTCCCAGGCCATGGATGGTCCCATGGATGGTCACAGGCCATGGATGGTCCCATGGATGGTCCCAGGCCATGGATGATCCCAGGCCATGGATGGTCCCATGGATGGTCCCAAGCCATGGATGACCCCAGGCCATGGATGACCCCAGGCCATGGATGACCCCATGGATGCTCTGAGGCCATGGATGATCCCATGGATCCAAAGCCATGGATGACCCCAGGCCATGGATGATCCCAGGCCATGGATGACCCCAGGCCATGGATGACCCCAGGCCATGGATGATCCCAGGCCATGGTATATAGATATATAGATATACCTATATATAAAATAAATAGGTATATAGATAGGTATATAGATATCTCTAGATATTTTATATATATAGCTATATCTGTATATCTATATACCTACCTATATATCTCTATATATTTTATATCTATAAAATGTGAAATATTTTACATTTATGTATAAATCAATGCATTGTGGCTGGGGACAAGCACACATTTAGCCCAGGGCTGTTTGTCCTGCAGCTGGACTGGAGGGCCCAGAGGTGTTTCGGGTGGATCCGGAGGGGGGTCTCAGCCGTGCCCTGACGCTGTCCTTGTCCCCACAGCCATGGCCAGGCTCCTCGGCACCCGCTGCCTGCTGCTGCTGCTGCTCCTCGGCGTCTGCGCCCACCTGGCCTCCTCCAAGAAGGGCAAAGGCAAACCCAGCGGGGGCGGCTGGGGCACGGGGAGCCACCGCCAGCCCAGCTACCCCCGCCAGCCCGGCTACCCCCAAAACCCCGGCTACCCTCACAACCCGGGCTACCCCCACAACCCCGGCTACCCCCACAACCCCGGCTACCCCCACACCCCCGGCTACCCGGGCTGGGGCCAGGGCTACAACCCGTCCAGCGGGGGTAGCTACCACCAGAAGCCTTGGAAGGCGCCCAAGCCCAAGACCAACTTCAAGCACGTGGCGGGGGCGGCGGCGGCGGGCGCCGTGGTGGGGGGCTTGGGGGGCTACGCCATGGGCCGGGTGATGTCGGGGATGCACTACCGCTTCGACAGCCCCGACGAGTACCGCTGGTGGAACGAGAACGCCGCGCGCTACCCCAACCAGGTCTACTACCGCGACTACCGCGACCAGCGCGGCCCGGTGCCGCAGGACGTCTTCGTGGCCGACTGCTTCAACATCACCGTCACCGAGCACAACATCGGCCCCGCCGCCCGCAGGAACGCCTCGGAGGCCGGCGCCGCCGCCAACCAGACGGAGGCAGAGCTGGAGACGCGCGTGGTGACCAAGGTGATCCGCGAGATGTGCATCCAGCAGTACCAGGAGTACCGCCTGGCCTCGGGCATCCGGCCTCGCCTGGCCGACGCCTCGCTGCCCGCCCTGCTGCTCCTCGTCCTCTTCGCCCTGCACTAGAGCTCCCCGCGGCTCCCCGATGTCACCCGTCGTGACCCCGTTGTGGCTTGCGGTTGTTTTTACGGTGAGGAGCCCCCCGGCGCCTCCGCGGTTTAGGAGACGGGATGAAAATTTCACTTTTCTGCCCCAAACGCGTGCCCAGGACGGCGCTGGAGCCCAAAAGCGCGGCCTTCGCCTCATCTTCCTCCTCCTCATCCTCCTCCTCGGGGTCACCCCGAGAGGGGAGCTCTCCTCGGCACCCCAAGAGTTCTCTTGGTTAACAGGCGGGGTTTGGTCTCACCCCAGTCCTGCTGCCCCCGCACCCCCTTCCCCTGGGGCACCTCTGGGGGGGGTCTCAGGGGTTTCTGAGCGGCCACGGGGTTTCTTGCAATTAGTTTCTTGTAATTGTTGCAATTAGAACCTTTTAATTGTAAAAAATAACCCTTCCCCGTGCAGGCCCTGCAGCACCACACCAAAATAAGTCCATTTTTCACCCCACACCACAGCAAGGCTCAAGCACCAGTCACGCTTTAGAGGCTTTTTCAGGCACTGCTGAATGCCCCAAACACCCCCAAAACGGTGTTACAACCCCAAAAAAAGCTATTCTGGATGCTCCAGGTGACAAGTCACGTTCATACTTCAACACCTGGACCTAAAGGACGTTAAAATGCAGCAAAAAGGATTCTCAGGGGGGGTCAAGCTCATAGCAAGAGACTGGAATCGGCCACACCACGCTGGTAGAGCAAACAGCATCGGGAAAAACCCGCCTGGGAAGGGAGATGCTTTAAAAAAAATCACATTTGTGAGTAATTCCTTTGCCCTGTGGAAGCAACGGGTGAAATTCTTGCTTCTTGTGTCGATGCTGGGCTGGGGAGTAGCTGTAACATCCGTGGCGCTGCGCTTGAGCTCGATTCAATATCTCGTTTATTTTTATTTTTATTTTTATTTTTATTTTTAACTTTTTAATTTTAATTTTAATTTTTATTTTTATTTTTATTTTTATTTTTATTTTTAACTTTTATTTTTATTTTGATTTTGATTTTTGATTTTTATTTCTATTTTTATTTTTATTTTTAACTTTTTAACTTTTATTTTTATTTTTATTTTTATTTTTATTTTTATTTTTATTTTTTTATTTTTAATTTTTAATTTTTATTTTTTATTTTAATTTTATTTTATTTTATTGTTTTTATTTTTATTTTTATTTCTATTTTTATTTCTATTTTTATTTTTATTTCTATTTTTATTTCTATTTTTATTTCTATTTTTATTTCTATTTTTATTTTTATTTTTATTTTTATTTTTATTTTTATTTTTATTTTTATTGCAAGGCACTGAATAACACTGTCCTAAACGAGATTTTTTTTCCTCTTTTTTTTTTTTTTTGCATCGGTGTAAGCTAAGTGAAGATTAATTCTATATATATCATATAAAAAAAAATATATATATATATATAAATGGAGAGAAAAGAAAGCTTGCAGGATAACCACGGGAAGAGCAGGGCTTTGTGACACGCGGATGTTTTGTAAAAATCCCGGGATTTACTGCGCTGAGCCTTTTCTGGAATGTTCCACCTCTGCTACAAATTAAAAAGGATCAAGCCAAGGTGCCCGGGAGCCTCCTTCGTGCCGCGAAACAGAAGCGGCTTTTTCCTCTTTTCCCGAATTTTCCGCATTTTCCGCATTTTCCGCCCTCCCTGTCCCTTCCCGGCCTGAGGGAGCTTTTGTTCCCTTCCAGGAGCGAATCTGGCCCAAACCCCAAAATCCCCGTGAACCTTTTCCCCTCCCCTGCTCCCCACCATGGTTTTGCTGCATTCCAAGAAGTGTTTTCTAATTTCTGTCTAATTTCGGTTTCTGTCTAATAAAGGAATTTTTACATTTGTTGTTTCAGTGGCGTTAAGCCTGACCCAAGACCTGCTTAATTATGGGATCCTGGGCAATTAATTATGGGATCCTGGACGTTTAATCATGGGATCCTGGGCAACTTAATTATGGGATCCTGGGCAATTTAATTATGGGATCCTGGCCTTTTAACATGGGGTCCCGGGGAACTT